TATTTCTGTGAGGAACACGAATATGAACACAGAAACTCCATTTTTCAATTTTATTTTATTCTTAGCTTTAAGAAGAGTTTCCAGCTGAGGTCGGCCGGGCAGGTTATTCAGCGTATGAGTACAAACGATTGTACATTGGACACCTTGTTAGCACTTCTGTCATACAGTACACGAGGAGATGAAACTTCTAGCTAACATCTCACAGCGTGGCTTCTTCTCTTTTACTTTGGCAACAACAGTGATGACTGCAGCTTACAGTAAACATGCTCTTTAAGCCGCTGCACGGGTTAGCACCCTCACACCTTTCTGATCTTTTAAATTGATGCACTCCTGCAACATGACTGAGATCTGCAGATGAAACGCTCCTGGCTGTCCGAGGTCCAGGTTAAAGCACAGAGGAGGTCAGGCCTTTGATTGTGGAACAAACTGCCCGTCACATCAGGTCCTCCCCAACATCAGACACTTTCAAAACCTGTCTGAAAACCCTCTTTTATTCCTCGGCTGTTAAGTGAATGGATGAGTTTGTACTTTTGTCTGATTTCTTACTCAAACCTTCTTGTTTTATGCTTTTTGTTTTTATCTCTTTTGATTATCTTAAAAGGACAGCGTTGCCTCAGTCAACAGTTGCTGTTTAAATGTGCTATATAAACAACTTTGACTTCTTGTGCAAATGCATTCAGAGAGCCTTTGAGTGGCACAAGGCAGAGAAAGTAATGGTGGTGAAAGTGAGAAATGCTCTTTGTCATCATTTTTTAAATGAGCATAAAAAAATGATGTGCTTCGTTTGTGCGTGCAGCGCCCGTGGAGAACGGTGATGCAGAAATGACCGCAGAGGAGCCATGGGACCAGAAAGACGTAGAACCCAGCGAGGAAGAGCCAGGAGGCGGCGTGTGCGTGGACCGGGGGCCAGAAGTGCCAGACGAGAGCGCTCCAGAGATGATGGAGGAGGAAGAGGAGGTGCTCGTGCCCAAGGCTCCACCCGCACAGCCGGATGCCCCCAAAAAGGAGCACATCAATGTGGTGTTCATTGGACATGTAGGTTAGTGGAAAGTCTCGTTTGCTGTTTTGAGTTGAGTGTGACGGCACACACAACAACGACGGGTTTCAGATTTGTGTCCAAACATTTAGTTTGTCTGTTTTCACTGGTGTGTTAGGGCTCGAGCTCTGGTTGTTATTTACAAACTGAATCGCACACTTAGGTTCGTACGCACATCAAGTAAAAATGGGTTTATTACATGGAAGGTGTAGGTTAGCTGATTGATATGTGCTGCTTTTCCAGATGCTGGCAAGTCGACCATTGGAGGACAAATCATGTGAGTAGTAGTCTTTTTTTTTCTTTAGGTGAGTAAAGTTGCTTCATCCCATCGGGCCTTTGACATGTTCCTCTCATGCACCACAGGTATCTGACTGGCATGGTAGACAAGAGGACCTTAGAGAAATATGAAAGAGAAGCCAAGGAAAAGAACCGGGAAACCTGGTGAGTGTCTGCTGAGTCTGCATCAACATAGTGGTGCTGTGTGTCGAGCACATCGTAGAAACTGACTTGCTGAGTGACCGCGAACACAGTAGCACTTTGTCTCAGGTTGTTTTTATTTATTTGTTAACTATCTTCAGGTACCTGTCTTGGGCTTTGGACACCAACCAGGAGGAGAGGGACAAAGGCAAGACGGTGGAGGTTGGCCGAGCATACTTTGAGACAGACAAGAAGCACTTTACCATCTTAGATGCTCCGGGTCACAAGAGCTTTGTGCCCAATATGATCGGAGGCGCATCACAAGCAGACCTGGCTGTGCTGGTGAGTCCAGGAAACGAGTCAAAATGTAACTTACCCCGAGAAACACACCAGAAAGTACAATTGTAATGAACTCCCTGTAGTTTACCTTTGAAATCAAGTGCAGACGCTTGAGTGTGTGTCAGTGCAGCTTAACACTAAACTGGAAGTCAGCGTGTAAGTCTGCTGCAGAGCTGTTGGTTTAGAGTGTGTGTGTGGCAAGGTGTTTCTGCGCAGTGTACCAGGGGCACGGAGAAAAGTTGTCGTACCATAGGCACAAGGAGTGTGTGTGTGTGTGTGTGTAACAAGGGTTAATAGAATAGCTGAGATACAAATGATACCACAGTGATGACGACGTCAGTTTTATAAATGCTGCTGTTTGCAGGCAGTATTTATTAGTAAGTGAAGTGTCATCAACCACCCTGCTGATACTACATTCAAAGTGTGAGTCGACTAAAACACAACATAGTTCAGATGTTTTCTGAGAATTTGGAGTAAAAGTGTAACACAACTGCGTAACATGTCAGTTTAACAATAACTAAAGGAAGTCACATTGTAACTCATTAGAAGTCGAGGTGTTATCACGTAATGAAGCTGGAAACTTTTCTGCCTGAGATTTTTAGCCAGCTGTCCTGTTTTCATCGTGGCTCTTCCTGTCAGGCAGCAGCTGGTGATGCTTGCTTGAGTTGTTTGTTTGCTCCTGGTTGCACATCATCAGCTAACTCTAACTGCAGTGCCTTCACACCCTGCCTGTGTTTTTGCCTCAGGTGGTGTTTGGTTCCATCTTTATTCAGTATAACCAACCTCTCAAAAACATCTGTGTCCATAGTTATTCGTACACACTCGAGTATCTGTGCTTAACATACTTTCCCTCCCAGTGCTCCAAAGTATGACAGGATTGAAAAACTACACTAGTTACTGAATCCTTTTAAACTTTGACAAAGTTAAAAGTATAAAAATGTCAGTGCTCAGAATTATTCATGTTCATAACCCTGCTCAGTGTGTACCGTCCTTACCATGTGACAGCTGGGATAGCTCTGACGTCTTTATTGTTGTTAATGTATTTGT